TTATTAATTTTAGTTTTGTTTGTTTACTGATAAATAAACTGGTGCCTTGAATAATAACCGTAAAAAACCTTCTGCTACCTAAAAATTTGCAGATTAATAAAGAACTACTCGTAACAATATTAATCTTCAAAAAAAACCTTTCTAGAGTACTGTACTTACATTGTTAGACATTGAAATTGAGTTAAAAAAGAAGTTACAACCTTGTGGAAAAGTTTAAAGCACTCTGAGACTATAGAAGAAGTAGTTATAAAAGCAAAAGTTTTTCTTTTAGATAAATAACAAAGTTGGATATATTAGTTCTATACAACTGTAAAACTTACAAGGAACACCTGCAAAGGTTCAAAGACTCACAAAAGCTACAAAATTAGTTCATCTCTCATCTTTACTTTTCTTCGATGATTTTGTAAAAAGTGGGTGTTTCAGTTTACCCCTTCTAAAGATCAATACATAAAATCACTAAAACAGTCAGTAGTGTTTACTTCCTAAATAGATTTGTTGATAACTTAGGTCATAAACAAAATAGTAATACAAACATGAATATACATATTCCTTGAAGATACTAGAACTCCAAAATACTACTTCCAGACTAACTAGTAATCTATACTGACCCTCTACGATTAAGTCAAAGTTTTTTCTTTCTTATGATTTTTTAATAAATATTCTATTAAATAAGAAAATAGTAGAGTAATTCTTATTTAGTATAGTCTATAATTTTTAAGGCCTATTACAGGCTTAAAATATGATTATCTAATATTTATGAAATGCAAATTTTATGTTTCTTTTTTTTTCTCTTTATCCTTTCTCTCTTTTATTTCTTAATTTGTATCTTTTATCATTTACCCTTATACCTATTTTTTTTATATTTTTAAAAATTTTTTTATTTTTTGCTTCTCTATAAGAATATATCATCAGATTAGTAGTATCCTATTGTAGACAGTAGTCAGATAAGGTAGTCTATCTCTGATGTAAATAGTGCAACAAGTTGTACTTAGGCCTTATATGAGAACTGAGTAATACTAAACTTAGGAAATTAGGTTAAATCTTTGAAAATGTATAGTTTAAGAAGTCTAATAATGTATTAGCATGACTGCTAAAGAAAAAAAAAATACTAATCTAGCTAGATAGCTAACTAGATTTGAAAGGATCTATCTTATAAAATATTTGAAAAAACTAGACCAATCTGGTAGAGAGCTATGAAAGAAACTGAGTTTATACGAATACTGATAAAAGTATATGCTAGCTTAATTGGGATACAGTATAGTATAGTTAGGTCATCTGCAAGCTCTCACCAGAATAGGATATATTGGAATATTTTGTAATAGAGCTCAATTCTATAAAGACAATTTGAGGTGCAAGTGGGTCTGAATAGTTCTCAAAATAAGGTAGCACAAGATTAGTATAGATATAAAACATTAGGTTAAAAATAGAGCTTTATAGTAATACTAGAGAGTTTAAATAGAGTATTTATAAGTAAATACTAGATATAGCAATTAGTAGATAACCTATATAGTAGAACTTGTAAATAGATAATAACTAAAGTTGTACATATAGCTAATTGTATTCTCACTAACAAATATAACTTGAAAATAATACTTAATAAAAATTTGCAAACAACTTGTTAAAAAATAAAAAAAAAGAGAATACTTAAGTAACTTGTTATAAATTTTTATTAATAATTTATTATTTTACTTCTTATATTAGAAACTTCTTATAAAAAAATCAAAAGACTTAAAAAATAATAATAAATAATTATTATCTTTTTTATATTTATAAATTTATTTAATATAATAACTAATATTAATAAAGATTAATTTAATATAATAGGTTTAACAAATATTAATTTAACAAATTAATTCTATCTAGTAAAATTAATTATAATTATTAATATTTTTATTAATATAAATAAAATAAAATATTTAAGTTATCTTGCAAATATCATAATATCTATTATATATAAAATAGAATAAGCAAAGTTAAATAATACAAAAAATATAACAAACCCAAGGCCAGAAAGTAATAGTAATAAAGATCTGAACTAGAATTTAACAAGAGATATACTAAAAAATTAATAAAGCAGAAGATATTCAAGTCTTAAAAAAAGCAAAGTATTAATATTTAGAATAAAATACTTGAATAAGCTACTACTAACTTGAGATATATACTATTTATAGTATCTAAAAATAATATATATACTGTTTGCTATACAGTTAAAAAAATATTTAATCATCTAGTAGAGTGTATAATTTACTAAAAGATATAGAAACCTACTAAAGAAGCTATTATAGAAGAACTAAGCCTAAAACTTTTAATAGAATAGGATGTATTAGATAGCTCACATTAGGGTTAGAGTTAGCATAGTGTTAGTTAATTTTGTCAAGATTTTTGTTTGTTAAAATTCTGTTTGTCAGGATTTTAACCCAAATCTAGATATATCTATACCAAGTTTAAAACTAAAAGAAACAATCTTAGAAATATATTTAGAAATCTAGATTAAGAAAAAAAAGCTTTATATCCAAGATCTAATAATTAAAAATTAAATCAAAGAAGTTAGAAAGCTTGTACACTTTAATTCTAAAGCTAATCAAATAATAGCTTAGTTAATAGATATTTTTTAGACAAATTTCTTTAAAAAATTATAGAAGTTTTACTACAAAATAATATCTAACTGAGAAAAGAAAAAAGATATTGATCTGCAAAAAAAAAGAAGTAAAAAGAAGAAATTGCATAAAACAAGGATTTTAAATAAAGAGAATAGTGTAGTTTTAGAAATTGTAAGTAAAGAAATTGCATCTACTAAAAGTAAAAGAATTTTAAAATAAGCAAATAATAAGATAAGAGGTTAAATTAAAAGAAAAAAAAAGAAGAATAGATAAAATTCAAAAACAAATAAGATATTCTTGATATAGGCTAGTAGTAGCTTTCTATTGATCATAATTAGATAATATGTCTTAACATACATCTTATTATAGAAGAAAAAATACTACTATAGCAGATCACATTTGAGCATCTAATAAATAGCTAAGTAAGTTCAGAATTGTAACAAAGAAAGCAGTTTTAGAATTAGATAACTTTATTTTGCTATATTTGTCATAAGACCTATATAGGTTTTCTCTTAATAAAATAAAAGATAAGATTACTTAAGTTTAAAAAATATATATATATATATTCAAGTTATTAAATCTAATTTTTCATACTAATTTATTAACTCTTCCTAATAATCTCTAAAACCAAAATAACAAGAAAAGAAAAAATCTTATATATATATAACAATACTCTATTTTCTAACAAAATATATATGAATGAGACTGGAAAATCAGAAATTTAGTAAAATATATTTTATTATTGAAGAGTAGGTTACAAGCTATTTATAGATTATTAGTACTTTTTATATTGTATATATAATATATTTTACATATATTTTATATACTTTATCATAATTATGATCCTTAATATAATTAGAAAAAAATTATTTATTTTTTATTTGTATATTATATTATTGTCCTGATAACAATTTTTACAAAATAAAAGAGGAGTTCTGTGGGCTTATTATTTTTATTTTAATGTGATTGTATGTTTGCTATTGTTTTATACAATATACAGATATATTCAAAATAAAAAAAATTTACATAACTATTTCAATTTGAAATACAAATCACTTTTATCAAGAAAAATTTTGATAAAATTCAATGCAAAAAGTAAACACAATTATGTATGCACCACAAGGGTCAGCTTTATTTGTACGTGATTATTTGTTCAAAACTTCAGATAAAATACATACACTTTATGTCCACATAATTAAACCTTTATTCATTTAGAAATTACTATGATTTGTTAACTTAAATGATACATTTGTATATATATGTTCATTTCCTTATAAACTTCTAAACTACTCAAACTACTGTTGAATTAATTCCATCTCAAGATCTGCACCTCCTCTGATTGCCTGTTGTTTTTGATTATCCAAACTAAAAACTGCAAAACCATTATGAAACAACATATTGTGAGCTCCGAAAATTAAGTCCGAACCAGGCCGGAACCCTAACGTGATCACAAATCACATGGGTAAATTGCATATAATGCATAAACGGCATATATTGCATATATGCCATATTCTGCATATATCGCATATATCACATAAATCACATTTAAGCGATATACTGCTTATATTACATTTATGCGATATATTAAGTAAATGCAATATATTAGGTATAGCGAAGATATAGGGTAAAAGGCATAAATGTAATAAACTGCTTGTAAATTTTATATTATAAAAGGCCGTGTAGGCCCAGTGAGGAGAACAACTCTCCTAAGTTTTGCTTAGTAAATTGAGTTCTTTATTGAATAAATAATAATACAGAAAATCCCGAATAACCCCCTTTCGCTAAACTAATCCTTAAACCCCGATCTACTGTTTAACGTAACTAACAGTAAGATCCTCGTTAACTTGTCCACGTGATACCTACCCCATAACTGTTCCGGTTAAGTCTTAACGTACCAAGACTAACCGTGGTATATGGTCCAGCTAACCCGACGGATTGTGGTTAGTTGTGGTTGTTATATTGTCCAATTACCCGACGAATTGTGGTAATTGTGGTCTTGAATTTAGGATACACGACGTACAGTTGTATCCTAATTGTCCAAATCTCTAAGAACAAAGTCTCCACGAGGTTCCCTTTAAAATAAATAATTAGTATTAGTGAAAGAACATCCCAAGGCATAATCACCAAGAAAACCATAGAGTACTCACCTACCTCTTTCGACTAAGCCATTCGTAGGTTACGCAAGGTTTTAGGTAGTCAAGCGACTGACTCGCCGTAATTCCCCGGTGGCAATATTTATATCAAAAAATATTTATTTTATTTATAACGATTATCTAATTTGCACTTGTTACGTGTAACTTGAATCTCAACTATGCTGCCTATATTCATAAATCGTTTATTACTTTACGGTTTGAAAAGTTTTATATGAAGGAAAAGAAGATTTCATAATAGTTTTCCTGTTTAGTTATATTCTAACTGCATTTTTTGACGTTTGCTAATCCTATCACTCTTCTCATTATATGTCGAAGTATGAATATCGCTATTGTTACTTTCAGTTAGTGCTCTTTCTGACACTTCTTTTTTGAAGCTCGCACTATATCTTCCGATCCAACCTTTAATGGTTTTTACTGTTGGTACTTCCTCGAAAGCAAGTTCTTCATTCTTAGCCAAGTCTTTTAGACTAGCGTGCATATCTTCAGGAGAGTAACGATCTTCAGTTTTTAAGTTTCCAGCCAAAAAAAAACCTTGCAAATATTGTAATACTTTCTTTGTCATATGCTTTCCCGCACCCTTGTTGCCAAGTTTCATATTTTCTTTTAAGGCCCATCCCGCATTAAAAGGAAACTCCTGATCAATACTATAGAGCTATTGGTTTAATATGCGGAAATTACTATATGATATAATTAACATAATTACCTTTTATCTTTTAGGTGAATATATAAAAAAAAAAAAAAAGAAAATTATTAAACATAGCAAAAGGGTTATATATATGTATGTATGTATTTACTGTTACCTTTTATCGTTATGACATCTGACATTTCAGTACTAACTAAATAATGGTCAATTTTGCAAACACATTAGCTAGTGTAAACCGAGTTAATATGTCTATAATATATATAATTACCTGATTCATTAGTTGGTAGTTCTGTGTTGTTCATTTAATAAGAAAAATTATTTGATGATCAAGGTAATGAAGTAAATACTATTACCTGTTTTTCTGGGAGTTGGCATTTTCCATATGGTCTCTGGTATAGATGGTTTAGAAAATGTTGGTGATGGTCTTCTACTAAAGGGTACAACCTGCGCAGGTTGGAAGTCAGTCCACACTCCAATATGAGGAAGAAAACAGGCACGAATGTATCCTGCAAATTGACCTGTTATAGGCTAGGACCACTCAAAGAATTTAGAGATGCCGGGTATGGTCTTGATTTTTTTTTTGTTGGTTTCTGATCTATTATTTATAAAAATGTATAGAATATGTTATTAAAATAAAGAGTATACCCAGATGTGGATTAATTATCTGGCATCTGTAAGACTTATTGTTCAATGTTACTGAAATAAGCAAAAAAAAAAAAAAAAGGCTCTAGTAAGGATGTGAGGTCAAAAGAACAATACTAGCACTATCATATTACTAAGAGTGCTCTCAAACACCTAAATTCATAGGTCGGAGTCCAATATTTAATTAGTAGAAAATAGTTTAGCCAGCCAAGTGAGTCCATTATCGCGATAAAAAAAAAAATGGTCAGTGACCATCTTTTTTTATCAGAGTTGTGCAGATTGGCTAAAATTTTAATATCTGTATTTCACAACATGAATCTTCAACAAAATTACAGTAAGGATTCCTTAAATTAATCGTAGCACTTGTGCACGATCTTGATTATTAGCCAATTACATAGAAAGAGATATTTGAGAACACCCTAAGGTTAGTCTTAAAGACTCTTCACTATCAACTTTTACAATATAGAATAAGAATTGCTTATATTCAAGAGTTACATAATATCAATAGCATATTTTAAATAGGTAAAATGCATTTTAAACTTCAAATGACCACGATTACAGGTTTATCTTTAATGACCATGATCATCAGTAGTAAGTATGGCAGCTTATGCTAAAAATTTGGGCCTTTTTGTGTTTTTTCTTTATAATTTGGTTAGGATTTAGGGTTAGTGTTAATAAAAGAGTATATCTGGATTTTAGTGGGTGTTATGGGTTTAAATGGGAGCCCCAATTTTAGCACCAGCCAATTTCAGCATTAGCTGCCACAAAAATTTTTTATATTTAATTTGGGTAAAGTAATTACTTTAATGATTCTTGATTGGTTTCTGTATCGTTTTGACTTTCTGATAATGCTAATTCCTCTATTGTTTTATTACGATTTGGCTCAATCTGTGCTACAGACGTTCCACTTAGATTTTGAAGTGCTGTCTCAATGTTTGTTCCATCAGTAAGTTCATATCCAACTCTAATGTATCTTTTAATTGCGTGTGCAATCTATAATTAACATTGTTTATTAGTAGAGCATGACAACTGAAATATACTCGTCAGTCAAATTAAAAAAAAATTCAATATGCAAAAATAGATATAATATTTTGAATGCTATTTTATTTAGATACGTATCACTTCACTGACACCCATTTCATAGACATAACATTTTACCTACAATTAATTCATCGACATGTACTTCTTACAGATAACCAATTTCTAGACAAGCTCACCGATAGCTCATTTCACTGACAAGTTTATTTCTTATAAATTCCTCTAACCCTAATCCTAAACTCTAACCACAATTCTAATAATAATAATGTTGGTGAAATGAGAAATGAGCTTGTCTAGAATTGATTGTCTGTTAAATAAACATATCAGTGAATTGATTGTAGGTGAAGTGTTATATCTATGAAATAGGTGTTAGTGAAGTGAATGGAACCGATTTTATTCATATTCGGCATATAATTGATAATTATGTGATTTTGAAACAAAATCTAGATTATGTGTCGACAAGTTGAATAGCATTCAAAATATTATTTGACATGAATTTGTTTTAATATTAACTAGTATATATTGTAGCATATTAAAATAAAATCAGATTAAAATGAAATTTTGTATAGTATAAAATAGACATTTTAGGAGTGTTTTTTTTTTTTTTTTTTAAAAAAAAAAAAAAATCGTTAGGGGTAATAAATAAACATAAATGGAAATACTTTTGTGGCTCTATAGTGCCGTGGCACCGACCAATCAGAATTTCAGATCAGGTGTAACTTTTGTATAATGTCGAAGCAAAACAAACCAAAATAAACAAATAAAACAAAATAAATTTGTTAACTTTAGGGTTAGGGCTAGAGCTCGTATTAAGGTTAGGGTTAGGCATAGTATATACTAAAATTTTGTGAAGAATTTTTTTTGTTAGAACACCAAAAGTGGTTTCTTAGTTAGGATTTTGAGTTATAAGTGAATTTTCAAAAAAAACTACAATTTTTTAATTTTTAGGTTATACCTGATCCTAAATTCTGATTTGTCAGTGCCACAGCACTATAGTGCTATAAATATATTCCCAACATAAATAGATTAAATAGAAACTCAAATTTCATTTTAATCCAATTTTATTATGATTTATGACATATATTAATCTACTTGCTGTTGCATGGTGAGAGTCAACAGTGGTTTTGGCTTCTCCAGGTTCAAAGAAAATCCACACACGTACTTCTATATTGTACCAACTATACCAGTGGCTAATAATTGCCATTAGTTCCAAGTTATGATAGTGCCCACTATTGTCTGAAATTATTTTAATCCAATGGGATTTAGGATTCATTATCGCAAATACTGCCTCAAAACATAATGCAGTAAACCAAGCATCTTGTTTGGTATTAGTACTCCAATAGTCATAGGCCTGAATATCTAAGTTTTCACTATTATTTTCATTTTTCTGAAACACTAAGGTAGTATGGAGTGTCTACTCACGTTTGCCAAAAAATTGGTTTTTCATTTCTCGAGCTGTTGCAGGCAAAATTCGTATCTTATAATCAACTACAATAATCACCCCATAGTCATCAAGCTCACATAATGTAGAGTTAAATTGAGCATTTAGATATGTTTTATGGGTTTGATAGGCTAAATAACATGTTAATCATTCCTGACATTCTGTAAGTTTAATATAATATGAAGAATCTAGTTTATTTTTTAGATCTTCGAATATATCGAAAAATCTATCACATTCTAAACACTGTAAAAAATGTTGATCTTTACATACACCAAAAGCAAATAATAAGCAATGATTAATGCAGTCTACATAATTAATTGTACCATTCTTATTAACCACTAATTCCTTTTCATAATTTTGTTTTAGATGATGATGTAGTAATTCTACTTTATTGATTAGATCGTCCTACAAAAATTATGTTAATACTAATGTAAAAAATTTTTTTTTTATATTTGACTATATATGTGTGCCTAAATTATTTTTGAAAAAAAGTATTTTCAGCAAACATTTTAGCATTGCTAAATTTTTTATATGAAACCCTCCTACTTATGATGTATTTTGATGAAAAGAGTTCAAAAAATTTTGACAATAATTTCAGCAAATATGAAAATTAATTTTGGCACTATGTAAGACTTATTTCAGCTGCCTAAATGCTGTAATTACTTTTTTATTAGGATTGGCAATTTAGACATATATATATATATTTGACTAACCTATATTGTTTTATAAGAAAAGGTTGAATTAATTATCTCAATCAAATCTTCAAAAAGTTGATATCCATAATCATTACATGTCATACATAATCCTCCTAAATCTTCTCTATATTGAAAACGACTATTTTGTAAATGGGCCATGAAAGATGTATACTTCATTCTATCTGAATAAGTAGCAGAAAACTTTTTCCAAAATGCATTTTTTTGGTCTTTTAAATAAAGTACAGGTAAATTTGTTTGGTGATCTACTTTATAAGAACTCATATTTACATTATCTTTGTCATTAAAGAATAATTCAAACTCTTTTTCTTTGATAACTGACATTTTTGAACGAGTAATATAGGTTTTTCTAATGCAATACATTCCAGTCCATTAATACAAGAAAATTTTCGAGTATTGTTAATTGTATTTGGGAATATCTAATTATACGATATTATTATTATTTATTATAATTATTTGTTATATATTATACAACTTACTCATATTATATGAACTCTTGTTATAGTGAAGATTCGATATAGTAAAGAATTTTTGAATTCCAGAATTATTAAACTTCAAGTGAAGTATATATAGTTTCTCTCGATATAAGCTATAGTAAAGATTTTTTTCTTAGCTCAGGAATTTCACTATAATGAGAGTAAGTTGTATTTGCATTTATGTCGAAAGGTTAATAATCTGGTTTTTTAGTTCAAATTTTAATAAAGATTTGTCTAAGCTAATCTTTTATTATAAGTTTTGACTAAATAACTAGATTATTAATGTTAAGATTATATAAATTTATTTCACTTTTAATTCATCTATTAATTTTTGATACATAAAGCTTTCTGCAATAATTGACAATATACGAACTTTGCTATCTATTTCTATAGGATTCGCATCATAGCTGTCACGAAAGCAGTCCCAAAATATCTTGTCTAGAAAAATTTGCAATGATATGTGTACTTTATCTGATGAAGCCTGTGATATAATTTCTTTACCAATGAAGTTTGCGATGATATATTCAAAAACCCATCTTTATATAGATTTCTAAGGGTATTATAATCTTTTAAAGGATTAGATACATTTGTCCAAAATTTGACCTATATTATATTTTTATTTTATTAATAATTGTTCTTTAATCTTTAGAATTGTATACACGTAACTCTTGATTGGATATGCCTTATTTTACTGATACTCATTTTGTAGATACAACATTTCATCAACAATCAATTTACCAACATGTATGTTTCATATACAACCAATTCCTAGACAAGCTCATTTCATAAACAACTTATTTCATATACAGCTTATTCACTAACAAGTTAATTTCTTCTAATTCCTCTAACCTAACTCTAATTCTAATAGTAATAATGTTAGTGAAATGAGCTGTTGGTGAAATAAGTTGTCTACAAAATGAGCTTTTCTAGGAATTGGCTACCTGTAAAACAAACATGTCGATGAATTGATTGTCAGTGAAATGCTGTGTCTATGAAATGAGTATTGGTGAAATTAGCTGAACCGCTCTTGATTAGAGATGAGATAAAACATGTATTATTCAGAATCATATGTATGAATATACATTTTACGTATTTTTTGAATTATGCGCATTAATGCATACATGATAAAAAAAATTTTTCAATGAGATAAAATACATATAATTCAGAAACATGCAAATTAATGCGTATGATTCAGAATCATGCGCACACATCAAAGAATATATTTTTTTTCCTTGGCTGCGAAACCTATTACTCTTGATATATAAGAAAGGTATTTGTAGTCTATAGTAAAAATTTCAGAATAATTATGTAGCAATAATTTAAAATATTACCAAACTAATTAAGAATAGTTTAATTATTCAGATGAATTTATAATTTGAAAGAAACTTAAGACGAATAGTTCAATGTGTCAAAAAAATTTTAAACTAGTAGAAAATTATTTAGTTGATTAAGCGAATTAGCAACAGATAATTTTTCTCCATGGTAATTTCTCAAAATTTTGATATTAATATGAGGTTTTTAAACAGTTTTACATAGAAAGTATTAATATGATAAATATCTAAACTATAATCGAAACCTACCACCTGATTTTTTGTAGATATTATAACAATTGTGCATTATTAAAAAAAGGTCTATATATTTTTTTTCTTAAAATTTTTTGCTTAATTATTAACTATTAAACCAATCACTAGTCGAAATTAAAAATTCAACATGTTGAATGGTATTCGAATTGTGCCATTCGATGTATTGAAATTTTTAATTTCGACTAGTGAATTCTACTAATTAAAAATTTTTTTTTATTTCAATGATGTTTTGTACCTGAGAATACCATTATATTAATAATCAATAAATAATAATAAATATTGCTATAGCAATTTATTATCAAAGAAAAAGAGTTTGAATTATTCTTTAATGACAAAGATAATGTAAATATGAGTTCTTATAAAGTAGAT